GGTATATCTTAGAGTTCTTCTAGATATCCTTAACAATATACATCATTTTCATAATCATCATTATATCCATTTTTAATCATGATTTAATCAATAATCATACCAATCAGTAGGTTAATCATTCATAATTGGCCACAATAATAGTTCATCATAATGATCATTCAACATAACATTTAATAACAATTAGCGGCCTAGTCTCGAGTGTTAATACACGAACTTACCGTCATGCATCACATAAGGTTTTATGTGTCAAAAATATCATTTTAATTGTACAAAATCATAATTATATTGTTCATAATTAATTGGTATCAAAAATAAGATTTTTGGGTTCAAAAATAACATTTTCAGAAGCATTTTCGGAGCAGACAGGTCGGGTGATCGATCCAGCTTGGAGGATCGATCCTCTTCACAATTTCTCTCCAGGTGATCGATCCACAGGAGATGATCGATCCACCCAGTACAGTTCTTCTACTACGGTGATCGATCCAGCTTCCTGGATCGGTCCGCCCGTTACTGTTCATCGTCTTCTACCTTCGGTCCATTTTCGGAAATATCAATTTTAGTTACCAAACTTCAATTAAACTATATAGAAATGTTCTCCAAGGTTCATAGATCAATTTAGAATCATTAAAACATATTTTTAACATCAAATTCAAGGTTTATGATTCTTGGTTCTTCAAACATGTCAAACACAAAACTCAACCAAATGAACATTTATGAACGTAGAAACGACCTATATGAATATTCTAGTCATTAGATATATCTACGGGCTTACCTCAAAGCGTAAGGGAGGTTTTGATGATTTTCCGGCGAAACTTCCGGCGATTCTATCTTACTGCTCCGGCGACCTCACACAAAGATGACATCACCACTGCACTCTACTCTCAGCAAGGAACAATATAGGAGGAAGAATGAATATTTTTGGTGAGGAATTGAGGGAGTTGAGTTGTGCTTAAATAGGCCAGTGGAGAAGAAGAAGACACAGGCTTGGTTGCTTCCGTGATTGTGCGGCTATTTACATTTTGGAATCGGCGTAATTGAACAGGGCGCCATTTGGTGTGTAGTCCCTGATTGGGACTAATTTTGGTCCCAGTTGGGGTACACTTTTTGGTCCAACTTTCTCCAAATTCAAATCCGTTTGCACCGTTGCGATCAGACAATCGAGCTCTATCCAACGATATACTTTTCATAATTATTTGTAATACTTTTTCCGACATCATATTTTTGGGTGTTTGACTTTAACAGAGTCAAAATTGGTTTAATTGACCTTTCTCATAAAAGGTTCTCTCATTTAATTCATATCAATTATTCTCATGATTTATTTCAACAAATCATTTCAATATTTACATTCTAAACAAATTCTTTATTTACTCTTGATTTGGGTCTGTACTCAAGTTCTCAATCAAGACCACACAAATAGTTCACATATTGGATTTATCTCTATGAGACTTATCCAGATTTTGATATAAGATGTCAAAACAAATTTCTTATCGGCCCAAAGCCCAACAATAATTTATTTTAATCAAAACAAATTTGATTAATTGATTATTTATTCATTAATAATTCTAGGGTATATTTTGGGGCGTTACACATTCCCTCATAAAATGAATTATCTTTTTGAAAAAAGTACAAAATTTTATGCCTTAAATTTATTATATGTAGAAATTAAAGATAAGTTATACATATAAATGATAATGCACAAACAAATAAAATTTCCGTATTTTTTAAATAGTGAAGTGTGATATTCTTTTTGGGACGAAAGGAATATATGCTGAATTGTATGGAATAAGTAGATTTTATCCTAATTTTATCTCATTACAATAAATTTTATTGATTTGAGAGTTAATTTGATTAGTTTCAAACCAATTCACTTAATATTAGTCAATAAAATTAGATGCTAGTGTTAGCATTTTGAAAACTCTGTAGCGGCAGTCTTTACTGTTATCATTTTCAAATTTGATCCACACCATTACATTTAGGTGTAAAATTAATTATATTTGACTGTATTAAATTTAATTTTCTCCATTTTCAACCAAATATACTCAATAATTTACAAATTTTGCACTCAATTGAATAAAATTCACTTAATTTCACCCAATTTTACTCAGTTTTTACCAAATTGTATTCTAATGGAACATAAGACTATTTGAATTTATCTTTTATCCTTTCATTTATATACATAGGTATATTAGTAGATGTGAGAAAAATTTTATATTTCAAAACTAAATTTTAAAATCAATTTAATTATATTAAATTTATATCATAATTAAATATATATGTTTTCATAATTTGTAGTCTAAATTTGTAAAACATGACTAAAAAGTCATAAAGGTAAGGTTATTTAGGGTAGAGATAATATTGTTACAATTCTCGTACGGATTACAACGGACGGGGAAGATGAACGGCCCCGAAAATAAAAAAATAAATATAATTCTGAATTTATAAATTATTTAGAATATTACAAAATAAACAAAGCTGAAAATAAATTTTTATATCTTCAAACGGCCTTGTTGTACAAGGACATTAAGGACTGGACAGCGAGGACGTTAAGCACTGGACAGCGAGGTCTTTAAGCACTGGACAGCGAGGTCTTTATGCACTAGACAGCGATTCAAGGACGTTATGCACAGGGCTGCGAGGATATTATGCACAAGGACAGAATGCAGCGAGGTCTTTATGAACTGAACCTGCAAAAACACAACACCGTGGAAGGACAGCGGAGTCGCCGGAGCTGTCCTTAAGGTAGTAGTGCCCGCCTACCGTACCGGAAAAACGCGGGCACTTTCCTCCCAGGATAAAACCGCTATCGTGTGTGGAGATTGTACGGACCAACCACACACCAAGGAACAAGAACAACGTAGGAACGCTGGCGACCAAAAACTTTGAAGGGAATTGCCGGAAATTTGGCCGGAAAACCAAGAGCTCTCTCAAAAAATAAACAAGAAAGATTTTCTTTCTTTCCCTTTTTGTTTCTCACGTGAAGCACATTAGACAAAATGGAGAGAGCCTTTTGCCTTTATAACTAAGCTATTTTAAAAGGTGTAACCTACACACCATTAAGGCTTAGTATTAAACATGGCATTTGTGGTGTGTTAATGGTGATTAATTAGCCATTAATACGTCCGTTACGCTATGCTCCGTTTAAAATTTGTCCCGAATAATTGGAGATTAATGGCCAGTTAACTCCGTAAAGATGGACTAATTTTAAACAATACGTAAAATTAATAAAA